CACCTCACCTCACCTCACCTCACCTCACCTCACCTCACCTCACCTCACCTCACCTCATTATGTACTACACAAAAGAAGTTCCAGATCATGATTATATTCCAGGTAATAATGTCATGAGAATCTCCATGAAAAATTGTGTTCTTTTACTTCTTTTGAATAGTGAATATGTGTGGTAGTTTGTGAGTTTAGTTTTATGCCACACTCAGCAATATTCCAGCTATATGGTGGCGGTCTGTAAATAATCGAATCTGGACCAGACAATCCACTGATCAACAGCATGAGCATCAATCTTCCCAAGTGGGAACCAATGACATGTGTCAACCAAGCCAGCGAGCCTGACCACCCGATCCCATTAGTCGCCTCTTACAAGCATGGGTTGCCGAAGGTACACTCTAACCCGGACCTTCAGGGGTCCCATAAGAGTCCTAGCCGTCCTCAAAATACGTACTGAATGATAAGTCCACTGAGATATAGGATAAGCAGGCCAATCCAGATAAGCAGACAGTACACAAGTCTATTAAACTTGTCCTTACATTTTCTATAATCTAGAAATGATGATTTAAACAAATAGATATGACCTCAGAGATTAGTTGAAGCCCATTAGGGATATAGGTAATAGTGTTAGACGGATTTCTGAATCCTCATTGCATCAAATAGCGTGTTATTTTCAACATTGTTTGCAGGAGCATGAGAAGAAAGGAACACATGCACTGTCACATGCAGGGTGTTATTATGTGTGTCTGACATTAAACAGAACAGGAAGTCGTGTCTTTGATTCTGAAACTCAAAGAACTGATGTGTCTGTTACATTATGAGATAGTCCTCTGGTTGTGAAGGTTGTTTCTTAAAGGGCTACTACATTCTACAAAATTTCCAGTCTCTGGATTGAAGTCATACAAACACCACATAAATTGTGTAGTAACTGGGGATGGTGGAAGTGTTGCATTGTGAGACTGTCCTATGTATCCTCAATAGACCAGCTCTATGCCGCAGACCACTAACAAGACTGTTATTCACCAACAACTGCTCAAGGGCAGATAATCCTCATGAAATTTAGGTTTAACATGATCTACCATGTATGAGTTTTACCATGAAATTAACTCTAAAATACTCAGTTTTGTTGTGCTACTGAAGCATTAGTAAAAATATGATGAATGATTGAGACATATGTTCAGGCATTAGGTTGAAGAAGGAAAGGGAAGCCAGAAGGAAGTAGTGTCATGGATGAAGACAAGGGAGGGTCATGTATTGGTAGTGAAGGGTAAACATGAGTGGAAAGGAACCGATACTCTCAGACCAGAGTGATTTCTGATAATAGACAATTAGATAGATTTCCGAGAAGCTGAGATTCCAGTGTTGATTGTAGGGAGCTAGTATACAGGTGCAGCTCCTCTCACCGAGGTCAGGAACATGAGCCCTGTTTGGAGTCATCCAGCAGATGCCTATCTTCATGTTCTAACTGGTGTAGCTCTCTCAGACCATTGCAAGTCACTAGGCATAGAAGATTTCCCTTAAATATTGGACAGGGGGAATGTCGGGTGTGAAATCTCTGTCCTAGCAGCTGAAGTCATTCTGGCTTTTAGAATGTGCACAGTGAAGTCCATTGGTGGTGCTGAAAGATGGGAGTAAAACTGACAGGAAGCAATAAGTGGAATATGCCAAATATTGTCTTTCAAATTCTGCATGTGTTTTATCTTCTTCTTGAGTTCAGAAAATGAACCCTGAACTAATGCATCTTTTGCAGATTGAGTGAGATGATTGACTATCTGTTCATTTGTGATTTTTTGCCAACCAACTTGTTTACAGGAAGGTTTGCCTGATTGTATTTTGTACCAGACATCTTCACTAAAGCTGAGACCCTTTAGGTGAGATACCTTTGGTGTCCTGAGGATTCTAGAATACATTTCTACAAAGACTGAAATATTTGAAATACTTAGGACGGGAGTGTGAAACGGTAACCTTTATGGCCCGAGAGTGAGTGATTTCAGTTTATTGCATTCCAGTTATATCACCACCAGTTATGTCACAGCGTGCCAGCTTTATAAGGAAGGAAAGCCCAAAGTGATGCAAATCGTCACCTCTGGTGATGAAAAACATAGACAAGGTGAACTGGAGTTAAGATCATAGGGTCCTGATGTGCCCAAGGGACACAACTCTGCATTGTGAATATTGTGCATTAGAGGACTGGGCCACACATGTCCCACACAAATTAAAAGATATTTATTATTTCTTTGAACTACACAGGATGCAAGTGTGAAACAGTGAAATTTAATAAAGACAGTTTTGTTGCCTGAAAATTCGACAGATTTTAAAGGGACCTACGCGATTGTTCCCATCAGTAAACAGAAACAACTTTGGCGAACCCTGGGGATTTTTTGGGGACAGTTTCCCTGACAAGCCAAGGTCTAAACTGAAAATAACAAGGATAATGAACAATTCAGTCAAAAACTCAACCCAGTTCTTAAATCATTTGTGTATTGATGAGAATTAAGGAGAGTGGTGTTCAGTGATCAGAAACTGACTGTAATCTAACCCCTTCAGTGTAACCCCCATTAGCTTCATCCTTATGCTGAGGCCAACTTTTATCTCACTTCAGTTTCATTCTGTATGGGCATTCAGGAATCTTATAGAATAAGTGCTGGGAGATATTTCATTTATCACATACTTAGTAGTAATGAACTTGAAGAAAGAAGGTTGTACGTAGTGTAACCTTGTCCCACAGTGTTTGGTTTCAATGATAACACTATGGTGGACAATGACAAGAAAAGATCATGTCTGTATCAGTTTAACACATCCATGGCATATCCTTGTTAACAATTCACACTGACCCAGTTCAGGACTCAGTAAGTGTGTGAGATTATCATTCCACTGAGTGCCCTATTTAGTCTATCACTTAGATGTGTCCTCAGTCTGTCTGCAAATAACTGCTGTGCTCCAGTTTGGTACCAACCAGAATGTAGCTCTTTGCCAGCCCAGATATCTCTGTGAATGTTCGTTGATTGAACTTGATGTTTGTTATGGTATGAAGTAGGCTATATGAGGAAGGGGAACTTCCAGGAAGTGCTGTTGAACATTTACACCGTGGTATAGATTGGTTCTATTGGGGCGGTGGGGTAGCCTAGTGGTTAAAGCGTTGGCTGGTCACGCCGAAGACCCGGGTTCGAATCCCCACATGGGTACAATATGTGAAGCCCATTTCTGGTGTCCCCGCCGTGACATTGCTGGAATATTGCTAAAAGCGGCGTAAAACCAAATTCAGTCAGTCAGTGTAACTGAAACTTACTTGAGCTTCTCGTCCTCGAGAGAAAGTTAGATATGGTAGTCCGATGTGTATAGGTTTAGTAGAATGTTATTCTCCATCGGGTTCAGAATCGTGACTATGTGTTGACTGTCATGTAATGGATATTGTTCACATCAGAAATGTGTGAACCTATAGGAGATAACAGCATATTCTCAGGCATTGGTTCCCAGGTGGGAATTCTGTGAAGGACAATTTCAAAGCATCTCCATTTTGTTTGTTTCTCTTCAGTGTTTGAAACCGATTGATTCATTAAATCAGTACTAGTTCAGTGACCAGACTTCTGGATTTATGAATAATAGGTGTTGATGGTATGATTCTTTAACTGTCCACAAGCAGAGATTTCAGTATATACGCCAAAAAGACTTTCAAAGTTAATTTGATTGAGCTTAAGTGGTTTTAGTTAATGAGGGTCCACTGTATCTGGTCATCATCATATAATACCAACTTCAAGAACTAAATCCATCAGCTTTAGCTATGAATGTGCACAAGCTCGTGTAGATCAGCAGTTAAGTTTGAAGAGTATGTGTCCTATCTCCATCTCAATGCTGCTGTACGTTCCCCTTGCATCAGAGTGACAGAGTGGTAATGGGCCCTTAGGAGAAGTTATCGGAAGGATGTATGTAATATCTCATCCGATGACAGCCGTACATAAGCAAGGTAGAAATAACATCTCAAGTTTTCCAGGATAAGGGAGAAATGAGGGTGTTCATGACACTGGTGCCATGTGATTCCTTGTTATCAATGGCTGCGAGATGAGATAGCTGGCCCACAAATTTCATGCTGCTGATAGCTGTCTATATGATGTGATTTATGTCACAGAGTGGGATAAATGGGAGATTCATGTGCTTAATGAAACAATAGGTCTTTGGCAGACGGTAATGGCTGATGATGTGATTAATTTCTCATGATTAAATGTATGTAGTTTTTACATGAAGTTTTGCATGTGATGGCATTCTTTTGAATGTGGAAGGATTAGATGCACTCTTCACAAGCAAACATGCAGGCAGTAATGGACTTAAATATGGTGTCTGTTAATGATACATACCCTTAAGTCACTTGTCCACTTTATCCAGTGTCCATTTAGAGTAACTCGCAAGTTTACATTTAAAGGAGTGTCCATTAAACATGATATCAACTTAAATCATGTGTCCTATTTTCCAGTGTGATAAGACATATTCACTACATCCCATGTCCACAATTGACAGTTTTCCAGTTATGCCAGGTTGTATCTTTAGTCAGATGTCTGGATATACCATGTGACCCCATTATCCCCAGTTCTATGGATAGTAGGCAGTTGTTCAGTTTAATCAGGTCTTTAGTAATAGGTCAGTTTATCCCCCTTTCCAAATAAGCCAAGTGCCTGTATTAATCTCACCAAGTGTCCTGAGAGATAAAAAACATCAAGACTTATTGATGTAAGTTACAGATTTCCAATGTACTTTGGGAAATAAAAATACTTAAATTTTTTTTTTAAAGTTACAGATTTCCAAAGACACAAGTGAGATGCTTCCAACTTTTTCTCTTCATAAACACTGATACAACAAATGTTTCTTCCAGCTCTGTTTCTAACACTTTGTTTCATCCTTTCAGCTCCTTAATCCAACTTCATGATTGTGGCATATGTACTTGCATGTTTCTATATTTCTGTTCCTGTGATGCTGATTCTGTTGACACTTATCTCGGTATTTCTCTGTTACAGGTATGACTATAAGAAGTTATTATACAATTCCACATTCTGCCTTGTGCCAAGGGGGAGAAGACTGGGGTCATTCAGGTGAGTTCCATGTAATATAGTTCAAGTTCAGGTTCAATTTATTTCAGTAATAGGGGCCATAGGCCCAGAGTACAAACAATACATAGCATTTTGTTTTGGTGGCTCTTACATAAGAGCGTGAATGGCATAATGTACAAGCAGATACATTGTACAATTGAACAATAATAATTATAGGTTGACAATATGATAATGCAAAAGTCGATAGGGTTGATAGTTCTATATCACTGTAACCAGACTCTCAGAGGAATAGGTGGGTGCTTCCTGGCTTCTCGGTCTTGAGAGTCAGTTCATTGGGGACTGTAATGTCGCAATGACTGGACCAGAAGGTTTCCACCTGAGTAGATACACATGCTTCTTGCATGCTCTATTTACCATTAAGCTGTGATTGATGCTTAAGCTATCATCCACTGGTTTGTGTGCTCCCGCAATGACATCCTCGAACTGCTTCCCTCCAGCTTGGGGAAAGGGGGGGAGGGCGGTGGGGTAGCCTATTGGTTAAGTGTTCGTTTGTCATCAGCCTGAAGACCTGGGTTCGATTCCCCACATGGGTACAATATGCGAAGCCCATTTTGGGTGTCCCCTGCTGTGATATTGCTGGAATATTGCTAAAAGTGGTGTAAATCTGAACTCACCCACTCACTCCCTCTAGCTTGGAAGACGTCTCATAGTAGAGATATTGGGATTATTGTCTCGTCAGTTATATTTCAATAATGAATAACTCTGGTTGCTTGGATTGTTGTTCACAATAGCAATCACTGGATTGTCTGGTTCCGCCTCAATTGTTTAGTGCTGAAGTATTGCTGTAGCATTAGACAACAGACAGTAAAAATATAATCAATGGACAAAGTATAGTTCAATAATGCATGTAGTGATTGCGTAGGTTTACAGTAAGTTGTTTCACTCTGTACTTTGTCTGTGAGGTATGTAGGTTGTACGCAGCGGTTTGTGTTTGCTGGACAGAGAAAAACAATACTGAGTTTCCATGGATGTAAAACATGCATCACAACAGAGCAAATTAAGTCTGTGTACATTATCTTCTGGGGTCATCTTGCTGTTTGTGTTGGTGCAGTGTGCTGCAATCAGGTGTCATGTACTGCTGCAGATTGCCTGTCAAGATAGCCTGGGCTGACATGGGAACAATCACATGAATCATCCCCAACTGTGTGGTCAGTACTCCAGGGGGCTCCAGATGCTGGATGTACACAGTGGCAGGCGTTATGGGACTTATCCACTGGGTACATTCACCATGAGGGATGTTTAGGTCTGTTATTGCACTGGGTATATTCACCAGGAGGGATGTTTAGGTCTGTTATTGCACTGGGTATATTCACCAGAAGGGATGTTCTGGATCGGTTATTCCACAGGGTATATTCACCTGGAGGGATATTTGGGATCTGTTATTGCACTGGGTATATTCACCAGGAGGGATGTTCTGGATCGGTTATTCGACAGGGTACATTCACCAGGAGGGATGTTCTGGATAGGTTATTCCACAGGGTACATTCACCTGGAGGGATATTTGGGATCTGTTATTGCATTGGGTATATTCACCAGGAGGGATATTTGGGATCTGTTATATTGCATTGGGTACATTCACCTGGAGGGATATTGGGATCTGTTATTGCATTGGGTATATTCACCAGGTGGGATATTTGGGATCTATTATTGCATTGGGTATATTCACGATGAGGGATGTTCTGGGTCTGTTATTCCACTGGGTATATTCACCATGAGGGATGTTCTGGGTCTGTTATTCCACTGGGTATATTCACCATGAGGGATGTTCTGGGTCTGTTATTGCACTGGGTATATTCACCATGAGGTATGTTCTGGGTCTGTTAATCCACTTGGTATATTCACCATGAGGGATGTTCTGGGTCTGTTATTTCACTGGGTATATTCACCATGAGGTATGTTGAAGGTCTGTTATTCCACTTGGTATATTCACCATGAGGTATGATCTGGATCTGTTATTTCACTTGGTATATTCACCATGAGGTATGATCTGGGTCTGTTATTCCACTGGGTATATTCACCATGAGGTATGATGTGGGTCTGTTATTCCACTTGGTACATTCACCATGAGGTATGATCTGGGTCTGTTACTCCACTGATTATATGAATACAACGGTAGATGTGGGTCTGTTGTTCCACTGGCTACAGTTTAACAATACAAGGGTACATATGGGTCTGTTATTGCACTGGCTACAAACAATACAAGGGTAGGTATGGGTCTGTTATTGCACTGGCTACAAACAATACAAGAGTAGGTATGGGTCTGTTATTGCACTGGCTACAAACAATACAAGGGTAGGTATGGGTCTGTTATTGCACTGGCTACAAACAATACAAGGGTAGGTATGGGTCTGTTATTGCACTGGCTACAAACAATACAAGGGTAGGTATGGGTCTGTTATTGCACTGGCTACAAACAATACAAGGGTAGGTATGGGTATGTTATTTCACTGGGTATAGGCATAATGAGAGACATTCCATACATGGTGTAATCACGCACATACTCTGGTACTGCACAATCTCAGACTGACACACGTTTGTTCCATTGAAACATCTTCAGATTTCATGGGTAACCAGCATGTGAAACACTCCCTCTCCTAGTTGTATCGATTGGGGTCAGTTAGCAGGTCAAGATTGTCTATGTCCTACTGTGTCAACGTGACATACAGTTTAGTGTCAGCACTGAATTGACATTGAAAAAGATCATGGTACATTGATAGTTTCCATTGTCACTGGTTGTGAAAGATTTATGTGGCCACTTTGGTTGACTAAACATATCGTTGGAAAAGGAACATTGTCATTGTATATATACTAGCACAAAAGAAACCTGAGAAAAGACTAATGTCACCTATATATAGGAATATATTACATTTGTATGTTGTCATGGCTTGTCTACACTTCTCTGCTCTCCTTTGCCCCTCTCCCCTTGAACACATCACTGACTGTGGTGACAACTTGCCTCACCCTAAACACATCACTGACTGTAGTGACAACTTGCCCTCCACCCTAAACACATCACTGACTGTGGTGACAACTTGCCCCACCCTAAACACATCACTGACTGGTGACAACTTGCCCTCACCCTATACATATCAGCTGACTGTGCTGACAACTTGCCCCACCCTATATTTATCACTGACTGTGGTGACAACTTGCCCCCACCCTAAACACATCACTGACTGTGGTGACAACTTGCCACCACCCTAAACACATCACTGACTGTAGTGACAACTTGCCCCACCCTAAACACATCACTGACTGTAGTGACAACTTGCCCCACCCTAAACACATCACTGACTGTGGTGACAACTTGCCCCACCCTAAACATATCACTGACTGTGTTGAAACTTGCCCCACATCACTGACTGTGGTGACAACTTGCCCCTCACCCTATACATATCAGTGACTGTGCTGACAACTTGCCCCACCCTATATATATCACTGACTGTGGTGACAACTTGCCCCCACCCTAAACACATCACTGACTGTGGTGACAACTTGCCTCACCCTATACATATCACTGACTGTGCTGACAACTTGCCCCACCCTATATATATCACTGACTGTGGTGACAACTTGCCCCCACCCTAAACACATCACTGACTGTAGGTGACAACTTGCCCCACCCTAAATACACATCACTGACTGTAGTGACAACTTGCCCACCCTATACACATCACTGACTGTAGTGACAACTTGCCCCACCCTAAACACATAACTGACTGTGGTGACAACTTGCCCCCACCCTAAACACATCACTGACTGTAGTGACAACTTGCCCCACCCTAAACACATCACTGACTGTAGTGACAACTTGCCCCACCCTAAACACATCACTGACTGTAGTGACAACTTGCCCCACCCTAAACACATCACTGACTGTGGTGACAACTTTGCCCCTCACCCTATACATACCACTGACTGTATAGTGACAACTTGCCCCACCCTAAACACATCACTGACTGTAGTGACAACTTGCCCCACCCTAAACACATCACTGACTGTGGTGACAACTTGCCCCCACCCTAAACACATCACTGACTGTGGTGACAACTTGCCCCACCCTAAACACATCACTGACTGTCGTGTGAACTTGCCCCCACCCTATACACATCATTGACTGTGGTGACAACTTGACCCTACCTAAACACATCACTGACTGTGGTGACAACTTGCCCCCACCCTAAACACATCACTGACTGTAGTGACAACTTGCCCCACCCTAAACACATACTGACTGTGGTGACAACTTGACCCTACCTAAACACATCACTGACTGTGGTGACAACTTGCCCCACCCTAAACACATCATTGACTGTAGTGACAACTTGCCCTCACCCTATACATATCACTGACTGTGGTGACAACTTGCCCTCACCCTATACATACCACTGACTGTATAGTGACAACTTGCCCCCACCCTAAATACATCACTGACTGTAGTGACAATTTGCCCCACCCTAAACACATCACTGACTGTATAGTGACAACTTGCCCCCACCCTAAACACATCACTGACTGTATAATGACAACTTGTCCCCACTCTATACATATCACTGACTGTATAGTGACAACTTGCCCCCACCCTAAATACATCACTGACTGTTGTGACAACTTGCCCCCACCCTAAACACATCACTGACTGTATAGTGACAACTTGCCCCCACCCTAAACACAGCATTGACTGTAGTGACAACTTGCCCCCATCCTAGATACATCACTGACTGTAGTGACAACTTGTCCCCATCTAAACACATCTCTGACTAGTGACAACAGACATGTACATCTATCAACATGCCAGTGTGTGTCAGAGCACCACCTGAACTTGTCACTGGACTTTGTCACTAGTGGTCTTTAGTGTTAGTCAGAGCACCACCTGAACTTGTCACTAGACTTCATCACTAGTGGTCTGTAGCATTAGTGTAGGGATGTACTTGACAGGACAAATGTGACTAGACCCAGACTTGGGACAACTGGCTCATGTC